TTTTGTAACCCTCTGAATATTGAACGAGTACGTCAACAGCCATGATTTTACTGTTTACGTCAGTCGTAGTACGAAGACCAAATGAGGCGGTCATATTTTTAACGAAATCGTCTTTCAGATACGATTTCAGGCTTCTTAGATTTAATTCTTGAAGACCCTCATCGCACTCTGCGCAATTTTCTGAGGCACTTAAGTACGCATTAATATCACGAGGGCGGTAATCTGCTTCTATAGCATTATGCGAATGTATACAATTTTTCTGCTCGCATGAAATGAGATTACCTCTTCAGAAAATGGTCGTAGCAGTTTAATTAACACTACAGGGGAGAGAGATCTTGCCCCTTTAGCCACAAAGCCATACCAAGGTTTAAACGGCAATTTGCTGGATATAAAGGTGAATGAAGCTGTGTTCGAGGGTGGGAGATTATCTTGAAACAGCCCGAGCAAACAACGAAAGAGAAAGGAGAGCCATGTAGTAACCGCTGAAGGAAACTAGCGTATTTCCTCTGTTCGAAGACCCAATCTTTTCACAGCTTAAAATTTCTGAAATCGACGCGCGTATCACATTTTATGGCGACTAAAAATCACTATGCGCCATGCAGTTAGTTACTATATGGATATGGAATAAGTTGAGTTATAAGGACTAACAGCCGATATTTCGACATTGAAATGCTCGTTTCTGACTGCGTACGTCAAACTTGTAAAGACTTATGAAAAATAAAGATAACTCAATGTCACAAACAGAACGAAAAACTGCATAAATAGGTTTGCTGCGATAGTATTTTCAACGAAGAAGGACAAATTCGTTAAAATTAGAAGACACCCCGCCATTCCACAACATGATTTATATATATCAAAGGGTAAGGGTTGAAAAATATTGTTTTATCCGCAGTAAAGAAAAAGTCAAGTTGCAACATATGTAATATTTTATATTACGACATATGACATCTCCATACATCCTCCCTTTAAACACGACTGTGTAAATACACAGTTTCCATACGGCACACATACGTATTCTGTCTTATTTATTATTTAAGACACACGTAGCAGTGAGGATGAAAAAAAAAAAGGTAAAACTGTCCAGAATGACAAGTATGCCTCTCAGTGCGAGCAGTTTCCACAAAAGAATTTGGTTATAAAATGCGCCTTTTTTTTTTTTTTTTTTTTTTTTTTACAAAGAATGAACCGTTTGGGGCTGGCAGGTTTTTCAACATGTTAACATATGCTGATTTCAATCGTGAAGGCCATCCTACTAATACTTGTAGTCTCAATGTTTATTAAAATCCTCCACACGTTTCGACCTTAATAGGTCATTTTCACGTGTTCGAAACTAACAGATATGAAAGCTAAACTGTATACATATTTGAATCAGATAACATTAGCAAGGATATGTGTGATTGATTTACAAGTATTCGTAGTAGGTAGCACCTGGAAGCATGGAAAGTCTTACGTAAAGTAGACGCACATTATTTTCGTGTTTTAAAGCGTTGTTAAAATGGTAGGAAAAAGACAGGAAGTTATTATGGCCACTTCATAAGATGTTGGTTAAAACATTAAAAATACTAGAATGTCCAAGACATCCATATGAGTTGAAAGCTCTTAAGTGAACTTGGAGATGGAATAAAGCTTTGTTCTTTTACCCTTATCGATATTCGTTGGAATTATAAGAGTGCATCACGTCATTACCGCCACGGTGGTCTAGCGGTTAGAACGCTGGCCTTATAATCCTGGGGTCTCGGGTTCGATTCTCGGCGGTGCCCGAATTTATAACTTGTGTTGGGCAAGGCCGTGGTCTAGGCAACACGGAATTTTCCTCCGTGGCATCCCAACAATTACTCCATTCACACACAGAAGAAGGCAATGGCAAACCACTTCTGGATCATATGCCAAGATCGTATATGAACAGGTCCCAGTCCGAGAAAAGGATGGAAGGATCCTGTTCATATGGACCTGTCGTGAGACAGAACACTAAATAATAATAATAATCACGTCATTACAGGATCTTTATTATTTTGGGGGGGGATTTGAAAACATGTACTGGATTTTAATAATCAGTGAGACTGTAATCATAAAACTTGTTTTGTAGATGGATTGGACAGTCTCCTCCAGACGATACACTTGAGTTACTGCAGTTTATGGAAGTCAGCCAAATGCATCGAAACAACAACTTCGTCCAGAGGAATTCCTTTTATTTTTATCGGAACACGATTCATACTAAGCCTCACTGGGCTCTGCGACTAATCCTACACTGGGAAACAAGGCCGTCATAACATTACGTCAGAAGCTACCAACCACCTGCCGAGACAAAGAACCTTCATGTAATCTGTACAGTGTCTCCGTGTTAACGCCAGAATGTAGACCAAGGGCACAATAATCTATTTTGGTAAGAAATTACCGAAAGCAAACAAAAAAACTGATATAAGCAACATTACAGGAAATGAGACATCATTTACATAATGCCCAGAGGCCAAGGGACAAACTTTCAGAGCCCCCCCCCCACCAACTATTTAATTACGGTGACATGCATACTATACCGAAGTGGAAAGTGACGAAGTTTCGTAGATGACCATGAGAAAGCTTGCTGATTACCTTTTCCAGTAAAGTGGTCGCCGTCTTTCCATGTTCCTAAAAAAGTGAGAGTGGAACCACGGTTCCGGAGAATTTGACGTAAATACGTCTATACGGAAAGGAAGTTTATATATCGGCTTTATTCTAAATATTTCCTTTATACCCGCTTTACAATTGAGTAAAGTTTGATTAAGACATTGCTTATTTAACTTGAATTAGTTACGCTTAAGATGGGTCTGTGGTAGCTGAATGTAATGTAACGTTTCCTAGGTAACAATAATGCCGAGTAAACACGACGTTTCCTAGGTAACCATCTTACACATTTTTCTGTCGCTTTTTCATTACACTTTTTTGCGGAATGACACTGACCCTTCCATATAGACGTATTTACGCCAACAAATTAATTGCGCTACTAAAATTTTATACTTCAGTTTTCAGTTTATAAAACCTTCCTGCAATTCAGCGACATAACACTCTGTAACAGTTGCAATTTGAGAAATATGGTGTCGCAAATTGTAACATTTCGCTGCAAAACAAAATGGAAATCAAGAATACAAGCAAGCATCATTACATTACCTTATTTTCTTCATTCTCAGAATTCAGAATTGTGACAGAAAGAATTACTCTGTGATTCAGGAGCGGTGGAAAGATCATGACAGGGAGAGTAACCTGTCCCAGTGGCACCCTGCCCGCCAAAAACTCCCCAATGAGCTGCCCCAGTCGGAAACCCGAGAAGCCCGAGCTGTGTCACGGCCCACTGTGTAGGCAACTAGCAATTTGTGTAATAAACTAGTGCAAACTGAAACACGTAAAGTGGGTTAAAGACAGTCGCTCTAACGTGAATTATAAACACACTGAAACTACGTCTGATCAGTACTCAAGATTTGTATCATCCAGGTCGGACATTATACAAAACGCATAATATCCATCACGCAACGTGCGTGTCTGCAGTGTGAGGAATCGACAAATGTCACATATGACTCTTCAGGTTCTCACGGCGTTGAATATGTTGATGCCGGTGTTCTGAGTTGTAACGCCGTGTGGACTGTAAGGCAGACACCAAAGTTTCGGAGGAACATACTGCCTCCGTCTTCGGGGTTCAAGACGGATGCAGTATGTTCCTCCGAAATGACAGCATGTACCTGTAAGTTCACACGACGTCACAACCTGAAATACCGACGACATGGCGCTAGAAGCATTCCGTACGGCCCACAGTGTTTCAAACGAGACACTTGAGACAAATTCCGCTATGGAAGCTTCCCAGTGATTCTGAATTCCGTGTTCTCAGAAACCACGCATTGGCACGGGATAATCAGCAATAGAAAGTGAGTGTGTCAAACGCTGATTCATTCTGAACAGCTACTGAGTGACTAAGACTGAACAATTCATCGCTTGTGTTGCAGGCGGCGCAAAGAATGCCTGCTGCTTCGACGTCTGGCCTTGGAATGGTCAAGTGCTTTCAGTGATTGAACATTTCCGCTTAAACCTTCAGTCCTCCCTTACCGGCAACGCGGACGGAATATATTATACTGAATATAGAAAAGGAGCCACTTCTGGCATCCTACTCTTGTAACGCATCTGAATTACGTACATTCGTCGAATGATCCTTCTGCGAAATACAAACCGCAATGCGAATAAGATGACTCCTTATTACAGTGAGAAATTCAGTCTTTACTGTAAGTGTATGACTCATTACACAGTAGTAAGAATTGTCACAGAAGAGTATAAGAATAACGTCAGGTAACATCGCATTTTGAGGCGGATGTAAACATTGTGTGGGTAACATGTCCTCTATTACAGTGCAAGATCCACGAAGTACTGTAACTATCATGCCGTGATCAAATTTTTTAGAATTTTACTAATCTGACACATTGTGGAGATTGATGGGCTGAATATAAATAATAAAATTATTTATCCCATTTTTGTGGACAATATCAATGACGAGAAATAAGATAACGGGTCGAAATGAGTACAAAGTCTTGGCACTTAGCATATAATAAACTGTGCAAAGCATCGAACATATCCCCAAAATATTAATTATTTCCACACCACGTCATTTTCGACAAAAAAATAAACTGATTTTTTTTATAAACGTCCAGCATTACCAGCGATTTATACAGTCAAAATGTCACAAATATTGGGTATAAAATCCCGAAGGATGACAAGAAGTGTTTACATCCAAACGAAATGGTATATAATACCATTTAAACTAAAGTGAAAAATATTTCAAAAATATTTTTATTATTTTCGGTGCTTCAAGGGGGGGAAAAAGACGTACTCAGTTACCAGCCTTCGACACGTTAGCAGACTAATCACCAAGAAGCGAACCTACATTTCACACTGCCATCTAGCTGCGTGGGTGTGGTGGTCGAGACGAATTAACAATGGGGTCTATAGAGGAACTCAGAACTGAAGGAGACTTCATTACTTACAGAGTCGACCAAAACTGTGACTCAGACGTTTCTTCAACTTCTGGACTCGACTAAGGGCACCACTTTTCTTCTCTCTCATCGCAACTCCTGAGGACAGAACACACAGAACACATGGTGATTAGCGAATCATAGTAATTACATTAAAACTTTCCTCTTTCTGCATTGAAAACCTGCACAATAGCTTAAAGAGAACTCACAATATTTCAATTATATTGTTCCAAGGATCACAATAGAAATCTACCTACGTCAAACAAACTTACTCGTTTTCTTTAATCCAGAATAAGAAATAGAAGGAAAACAACACTCTCATAAAAACTCATGTTCTAACCACAGAAATATTCATGCAAAGAAAATTCCTGGCTAAATATCATTAGCGACTGCTGTAAGATAAGAAAATGAGACATTTTAAACTTCAAATGCAGGAGTTTACTGCTACTGCAATTCTTAATCTGATCAGCACCTCCGGAAAGTGTAACAAGACGAAAAGTTTCCTGTGAACCGGTTTATTAAAAAAACACGTTTTTCGAGAGTACGTCGACGTCGTGCGCCTCATTTTCTTAATAAACAATAAAGTACATAAATATCGAAACTATTAACAGATGAAAGCATGACACAGCTGTGCTGACATGCGCTGAATGAAAAGTATATTAAACGTACACAACTCGTTACCATGGCAACATCAGCTTCAGTCAAAGCGCAATATATCTTAAGCGCTTTTAACAGACTGAAATTAGGACAAACAGGAATGGCGAAGAACTGATCGACACTTCACCGAGTATCGACTTCTTTCTTTAACACGTACAGAAAACTCGTGACAGACACTCGGGGTCTTTGACTTCTTGGTAGAAGGCATTGCAGAGCTTATATGCATGTCTGTTTTTACTTCAGCTCACTGTAGAACAACAGAGCATGCAAGCGTGCATGTCTGTTGCAAGGTATGGCAAGGTTAGCCATGAAATCTCACCAAAGAAAACTAACTCATCTCCCTAAGAAGAGAGATAAGCTTAGGTCAACGAAACTGTATGACTGGTCCAACGTCGGACGTCTAAGCGACGGCCTCAAGCAATGCAATGGGCGTAGAATATGTGATCAGTTAATATTCGTAAGTTCAGTGACCACCTTAACACGTACGTCACTTCTAATACCTACAGGAAATGTGCTACAACTGTTTTGCAAGTTCAATGAATCGATTTCACACTAAAGTGACAATGAACACGTGAACATAACCGAGGCACGTGCCATACGCATTCACAAACTCCATGTGACATATGTTTTCACGGCGGTGATGTACCTTGAGGATGTTACTTCATCCTGAAGGTACATCTCATGTATTCTCATCTTCCTTACTTACCACCAGACTTACTTCCGTCAAGGTTATTACACGTATCAGAACAGAAAACACACCGCAATACAAATGGAACCATCGCACAAAAATGGAACGACACTACACACAGCAACCAACCTCTTCAATCGACTCCTAGTCACGAGATACTCTTGTACTGACATCAAGTCGTTAGCTGGTCGTAATGTCTTGCTGACCACTATATATACCCCGGGGCCTTTGCACCGTCAAATAATTTACTTAACACACAAACAAATATTTAAATTATTTACTTTGAAACTTTGTTAACACAAGACAATATACTTTCATAAATACAGTCACAACTAATTCAAATCAATGTATAAACATTTATCATTTATGACTGCAAATGACCTTTAGTTCTGTCAGCAAACCATGAAGAATTTCGCCTGTAGTTTGGATCACTTAAATGGTAACTTTCTCACAGAATTTCTTCAACCAACACACACGTTGCGTTGTGCGTTAATGCCACGTACGAACGAGATTACAACATAAAACCAATCTTACACACGCTAAAACATTATCATTGTGTCTGAACGTGTCCTTGTCCTCAGACACTCAAATATAAATTACACGTAAAGATTTCAGGTTCCCACGACAGCAAATATGAAGACAGTCATCTTCAAGGTGCTTGTAAATTTCCCACCAACAATGGCGGGAAAAATCTCCAGTCGTGGGGGGGAAAATGATAAAAGAAACCCGTAAATATATCAACAATGGCGGGAAAATCTCCAGTCGTGGGGGGAAAAATGATAAAAGAAACCCGTAAATATAACACCATTCGACCGAAAATGTCTTAGCATTATCATGGTGATAGTTATAAGAACACAAATATTATACCATGAGGTACAAAATCCCTCTAGACCAATCAACCTACCACTTGCTAGATACATTAACAATTTATGAAAATTCCATCAAGCTGGTGAAGTAGCCGTTCGGGTGGTCGAGAAAAAACGCGTTTTTGCGACACAGTCCGTCACTGGACCACTAACAGTAATTAGATGAATCCAGTCCAGCCTCTACGCCACATGAGGAAACGCAGAGCAGTGGCTCTGAGGATTACAGCAGTTAAATACAGAAAAAATTAATGCGCAACTCGCATGCGCAGCGGCCTAGCAACCATGTTCTCGACTCGAGTGTCACGTGAGAAACTGGTAGAGTCTGTTGCAAGAGGGTGGTCCTCATCCTGACTTCATGTTCGTACCGCAGTACGTGACTGCTGTCGGGTTGCCGTTTAAGTAGTACAGTCCTGTACAAGAAGCAAGACAAGGCCAGTGTTCGTTCTGAATGTACCAATTCACTTTCTAAGAGTTCTGTACACTGAACAGCGTACAGTGAACTCGGCCTAAAGAATGAAAAGTGGACACGCTGAGTAAGCAGCACTTTCAAGCGTTCTGCCTCGTAACAACTTTACGTCATGTTCAACTCAAAGAACGGGATGATGCATGAAGCACACAGACCTTATCGGCGAGAAAAGCGAACATTACTTCTGTTTCTTGTGGCTGCACACTTGTAACAGCGCATGGACAGCAAATTAGTGTCAGTGGGCCGGATGCGACCCGCGAAGTTGCTCGGATGTAATTAATAAAAGGGCCCTTTATACATGTACGTGCTCGCAAAAGATTCCAGACTTTCATGAAAATGCAAACTTTGGGGTCCACATATCGACTACTGTAATTTACTGCACCCACAAATGGATAATAAAAATGTGAGTGGGCCCACTCCAGATTAGGCATATTTCACAAAAGAACCACTCACAGCCAAGAGTACCGCGACAGAATTAATAGGTGAGATTTCAGGTTCTCATGGTGGCGAATACGTTTATATCTTCTGAGACGTTGCGCCGCGCAGTCTGGTAAAAAAAATGACTGACATTTCGGAACCGCTTCCATCATCAGGGCGACATTCGTTCTCGAATACCTCACTCTGGCCTTCCCTTGGAACAAGAGGCAAAGCTTCAAGCCCATATAGAATAACAGGGACCTTGTACAGGCGACACCTAAAACGGTTCAAACTCCCAGCAGTACTAAGGATATATTTGTTTTATCTTCAGTTCTCAAGTTGCATATCTTCCTGTCCAGAATACATGTACACGGATAAAACCGGTCTCGGTTCTTCGCCAGTCGCACAAACCATCTCAATTTAAGACGTAATGGTCATTATATGTACCACCTGCTCCTGGAAGCATTATTTTACCCACAGTGTATTTATGTGTTTGTGTTTCGTACGATTCTAATAATAAACATCGATTATTTCCTTAAATGGCATTAACCAGTTTATCTTTGTAATGGTGAAGTGCGGTGTTTTCTTTGCGGTACGGACTGATTCTCAAGCTTATTTGTACAGATCCCCCTACACACTGCTTTGTTTTGGGTGTGTGGGTCCACTAACTCTGTGTAGCGGTCCTTGAAGAGCTGTTTAATCGTTCAGGTGGGCCTCAGAATGAAAAGATGAGCAGAATGAATACAGGCCTCATCGTACTACTTACAGCCAGTGGGTTACTACTACTGCTGTCATACACTTCTATGCACCTCACAAAGAGTTCACCCGGACGGAGATCGAGTAGCTAGCTAGATTGACGCGCGATAAAAGATAACATATCGATATTGATTAATGGAAGTGTGTTCCATACCAACGCACGCATTTCCATTGACGTGAGTTCAAAACGACACTCATGGTGGTAAGGGTTCGGTATTTTCACGCAAATAAACAATGTGTAGCTCTCATACACAATGACGAGAGCCATTAGGGAAATATGCAAATCCAATTTAAACAGCTGACAGTTGCATTAATTTCCGAACTTCAGACATGGCAATGTTTCAACTGCTACATTAACCCTTTGAGCCAGAATAAATTAATGAATGACAGAGTGAAGGAGGGGGAGGGGGTACTGAGAGACACTAAAGCGGACAGTAATGGTTGGGGGGGGGGGCAGAGTAATGTTTAACAACGACGATTTTAAGGCCGTCCAAATATTTAAACATCCAGTCCCTTCGTCAGAGTAGAGACAACCTGTCTCCGATACAAATATAAGTTGGCCAATACTTTTAAAAAATAATGTTTTTTTTAAGAATCACATGAAACCCATAAATACAAAACAAAAGGCTACTGATATTAAAGCAGGAGGTTAATGTAATTCCCAATTTAACGACGCAAACCGGATGTACTATGGGAAAGTGTTTGTTTTGCATTTAAAAATCACTGAAATCTATAAAAGAATATCCATCAGTCTACTTCAGTTTCCTTTCTCCCTGTCTGTCCAGTGGTTTCCGGGAGGCCATAAATGATTTTATGTACATACAACCTAACCAGGTTTACGTTCCCCCCTCTTCAGTTGCTAGGCAACTAAACATAGTTTACTGCAGTTCATTTGAAAAACAAAAATGTAGGTCGAAAAACATGTTAGTTACTACTTCATATCAGACTGCTACTTGGAAAATGGTAAATGAACCATAACCAAGCTGACAATTAAGATAATCGTTAACAGGATGCAGAGAAACGGAAAGTCCAAAACAATGCTACAAAGTAGGAAGAACGCAGTATTTGAGGTTTTCACGGCGATCGCCCTGATGATGGTGGCAGCAAGGACCTCTGAGACGTCGGTAAACGTCTACCAGACTACACGGCGCAACAACCAAGAACAGCCATCTTCAAGAAGTAAGAAGCTAAATCCTATCTTAGGACAGGAAAATGATACCTCAGATGAGAACGTAAAGACCTATGTGCTAACCGGTTTTGTTATTAACATTCATTAGTTTACTTTGCAGTAATACGACTATGTAAATTAGCATTCCAACTCATCCACTTTGCTTGAAACTTGTTGGGTCTTAATGTCAATAGTATTTACTGTGAATCACTGTGGTAGCAAAAGCCAAACCTTCGACATTGCCAATTTGGAGGTCCGTAATTCGACTCTGCCCTGAGCAGGTTCCTCGACCTACTTGGTTCTACCGCGTGGCACTGCATATCATGTGACAGCATGCATCGATGATGACCCTTCGCACATCAGAATGGATTCTTCGAAGAAAGTCAATCCGGGAGAAAGAAATGGCCTACACTCTCTTATTCTGAAATCCAAAACTGTGCGCAAGTTCAAGAACGACCTGACACTATCCCATTAACCTTGAACCGAAAGGACGTCGAACGAGAACGCTCACTACCTTGTTAGTCTATAGTTCGAATCCAGATACGGTCTAGAGATTTTCTTCATCCTTCAGAAGAAATACGACACAAGTACAATAGGTCTGCAACTATTTCAAAATAATTTTATTTCGTTACGATTAATGGTAATTTAATGATTGCTGTCTTCTGGGTTGTTGCGCCGTGTAGTCTGGTAGATGTCCACCAACGCCCTGATGACGGAAGCAGCATGACCTCAGAAACGTTGGTCAACTTCTACCAGACTACATGGCGCAACAACCCAGAAGACAGTAATCTTCAGACTGACTCATCGCTGCGAAAACCTCAAATCTTACAATAGTAATTTAGTTCAACAGATTCAGAATCTACTTGTAAAGGCCACAATTTATTTCCAGATTTAATTCATACGTGTTATTATTTAAAACACAGACCACCCACCTACTTAATTCCAAAATATCCGTTTTGTAGCAAATGAACATTTTATAAAACAGACCAATCATTAGGCCTCATCCTAAGTCATTCAACTCTCCTTAATTCTGAGTTAAAGAATACGTAAGTTAACGTTGCCAACATTTAAAGTGTTAGCTAACCAAGAGATTCTGATATTAACCTGCGGTTAATGAACACAGCATACCCATTGCAAACCACCTATCCTCATTGCTATAAAAATCATGACGTGCAGAAATCACTTGAGAATTAGAAACAAATATTTCATTTGTGTTATTACATATTCTACACCCCTGGCTTTGGGCCCATGAAGATCAATGGAACGTAAATAAATTATATTCTATTCATCGAATGAGAAATTACTATGAAATCAATAATTAAGCACGATACGTAAGAATGTAATTGGGGTTATTTCCGAAATTCTTTTTCGGTAATTCAATCGGGAGAGGGGGGGGGCTCAGGACAGCCGACAAACCCATCTATGATTTTCAGAGGCCAACTCCAGAATGCAAGGATCGCTTACCACTAGCAACAACTATGTCCAGTTTTCTGAAATTGTTATGTGGCATATGTTACGTGTTCTTGGAACATGGTTATTTACATGACAATATCATAACACCTCTCCGCAAATAAAAATACAGTGGAACCTCGACATAACGCGGGTTTCGGTGGACAGCTTCAGTACCCGCGTTATATGTGAAATATGTACATAATCGTATTGGGGGACATGATCACCGCCGTGGTATATCGAGGTTCCACTGTAGCCTTTCTGAAGACAGGAGAGGCCTGTGTTTAATCCTCAGAGTAAGATACGCACTGCAATTCGGTCCTGGTATGTCCAGCCACTCGGTGTCTCTTGTACAAAGTCCTGCGCACGTGCACAAAATGCACAGATTTCACCGACACACTCCCAAAGAAAAGTGCACAATTTAAACTCTTTCACAAAGTTCACCAAGTCTTTCTCCACAACTTCAATCGCGCATATGAACCAACCAATAACAACACTTCGACAATCGACCTTTCCAGAACGAAAGCCCGGCAAACACTAAAACGATGTCGCGTGTTCATACTCCAACCAAACTTCTCGCATCCAATGAGAATGTGTTGGGTGGAGAAAGGGGGGAGTGCTGGGGAGGAGTGGGGGAAACAACCTCGGCAAGAGAGCGGCCCCAGCGCACGCTATGAAAACGCGCCTTAAAAAAAAGCAAGGCAGTGTTTGTCAACAGGGGGCCCGCGACTTGAGTACATTCTTCTTTTTTATTCCTTCTTGATGCTGCATGCTGGCAGTTTTAAGCTTTTTTTGCACTTTCTTGCTTCAAAATTCGAGTCCCTGACACTAAGGGAGGAACGTGGACTGAGGGTGTTTGAGAACAGAGTGTTGGGAAGAGAATATATGGATCTAAGACCGGTGAATTACTAGGAGGATGGAAAAAGTCGCATAATGATGAGCTTAATAAGTTGTACTCCTCGACAAATACAATTTAGACTGTCAAGGCAAGGAGGATGAGATGGGCAGGGCATGTAGCCCGCATGGGAGAGAAAAGAAATGCATACGGGGATTTCCTGGGTAAACCAGAAGGAAGGAGACCGCTAGGAAGATCTGGACGTAAGCGGGAGGATAATATTAAAAATGTACGCTAGAGAAATAGGATGGGGTGGTATAGGCTGGATTCATCTAGCTCTGAACAGTGACCAGTGGCAGACTTCTGAACACGGAAATAGGCCTTCGGGTTCCATAAAGTGAGATAATTCTTACGAGCCGAGTCGAATAACTACCAACTTTGCAAGAAAGTCACTGAGCTAATGAGACAGTTCAGTCCTTGTATGAACACAGCTGTTCTTGTTAACAAGATCTGTTTCTATTACGTCATAACAATTGCATCTGATTGGTTAGTGAGGGCAACGCCACTTTAATAGTGAAATACCGCCGTCATGTCACTATGCCCTGATGTTCAGTTGCCATGGCTTTGTTTCAGACCACGTGGGTCTGGCACGGTAATAGAAAACATTGACCCTTCTATTGAAATCATTACAAGTCAGGGGCTTCAGTTTGCTGGTCTCGGAGCAAAGGCGACCTAATCACATACAATCGACCTACCATGCTTTTAAATTACCATAACATATCATTCACCATGCGCGTTATTAAAAAAAATATCAGCTCAGGAGACTAGCCTCATTTATAACTTTGTTGCACGCAATTCTAGAATAAAAGGCTTCCTGTTTCTCTGAATTTGGAAAATGTTGATAACCCCCGACATAGCACATCAATATTTCGGATGTTTCATCGCAAAACCTAATTTATAAACATCAGCTCCTGCACTCACAGAACGACTAAAACCAATGACAATATCGAATTCTTGCAACCGTATCCAGTTTTTGCAGCTGAAGCACGGCTTGAAATTAACACCGCCATTATCTGAGCTGTACTGTCGCTTAATGAGCACTTGGCACAGGCAATTACTTCCTGTCTCCCTAAGTTATGTTCACCGTCGGTGTATTGTCGTCTCATTCCGTTCTTCCTCGGTAGGACAACACAATCTCTAGCAAACAATTTCAATGTTTCAGAATAAACACGCCTTCTACTGGTGAATACACCATGTTCGCACTTGCACAGCTTCTACGCAACTGGCGTGAGAAGCGGCCTAGCAACCAGGTTGACGTTGACAGTGTCACAGTCGGCGATCGACCTGCTCCTGACTTCATTTTTATATCGCAGTACGCGACTGTATTTGGGTTGCATTTTAAATGGCACCCCCTGTATTAGGATTGAACATTCGCGGTGTATTACAGTGAGTTCGCCAATGCATTCTTCACCGATGAGAGAGGGGGATGACAGGTGTAAGGATGTATAATAACGCGCGAGGACGATGTGAACACATCGCTCCATCGGAGGCCGGGTCAGAGGAACACAGCTCCATCGATCACTACGGCCTATCTTGAATTTCCAGGTTCGGGTAAACCCACGCTCCAGCAATTTTTGCGTCATGTCTGTAGCAATTCAGTGGGCGCATCACGCCAGTCCAATAACGCATGCAAATAACGACGGTGCTTATCACCGATCTATTTCCAGAGGCCACTTAATAGAATTCCATTACAAGCCAGTGTTGAGGTACAGCGATTCATACACGTCACTTAATTTTATTTCGATACTAAAATGCAGTAGGATACAATGCGCTGGGAATGTTGTCAGAATAGGAAAAAAACAAAGGAGAGCATACAGAATTTTGACGTGGAAATCCCTTGAAAAGAAAACCCGTTTCATTGGAGAGTAACTACATAATTCGACTTAACCCTTTGAAGCCGAAGCCCGTCTAAACAATACAGGCATACCTCGTTGTATTGCGCTTCGCAGATATTGCGTATTTTTACAAATTGAAGGTTTGTGGCAACCCTGCGTCGAGTGAGTCTATCGGCGCCATTTTTCCAACAGCACGTGCTCACTTCGTGTCTCTGTGTCACATTTTGGTAATTCTCGCATTGTTTTTTTAGATATATTGCTATTGCACACTTAATGGACTACAGTATAGTGCAAACATAACTTTTATAAGCACTGGGAAATCAAAATATTCGTGTGACTCGCTTTTTGCGGTGGTCTGGAACCGAACCCGCAATATCTCTGAGGTATGTCTGTATTTAAGAATTTAGTCTACACCTAAAACAACAAGTCATAATAGAATAACACAACTTTGTTTTATTCTGTGAGCAAAATTAAGAATTACTGATTCTTAAATGGATGCAACACACATAGTTAACACCAGGCCTTAGACAGCTGAAAGGAATGTTGTGAAAAGGTTGACGCAACTACATCAGGATCTCCTTCAACGGCGGCCTTTGGCATTGGCAATGCCGAACCTTCTAGTTCTACTTCAAGAAACCTATCACTCCTGGGTAGGTCACGAGTTTGTAAAAACGACAAAAACAGCTGCAGAAGTCACAGTTTCAAGCCGCGACGACTAGCGAACTGTCCTTCAACATGGCAACACCGCCGTAACATTTCATCATTGATAATGTCCTCACTTGAGATTGGAAACATGCGATTTGCAACAGCGCATTCCTCTTAAAACCTTTCCGGGTTCTGCCAAATAACAGAATTACCCATGGACTGGAACTCGTAGGACCCACCTTATAGAAAAGTTGGGCGGACCGGGAGATGACAAAAGAAGATCAAAATGACACGATTTACAAAAAAACGTGGGCTCAAAACTGAACACTCCGTCCGCCTGTTGTGTGCGAACTACCGCAAAAGGCCTGCGTGAGCCTGTCGTCGAAGTCTACGGCAATTTCGCCCACACCGGTCACGCGACTGAACGCCTCTTGCACGAAACCGAAGACGACAGCGCAGATTCAAGGACCACCAGCAGCAGCAGCAGCAGCAACTGAGTGAGGACGACCGCCATTTTTTGCCATTGCGACAACGTGTACTTATTGAGAAGCTAATGACACGACTAAGATAATACACCGCAGAATTGTGAATAAATCATGATGAGAGTCAAGGTATCGGCACAGTACGACGCAGAACGCGAAGGAAATTGACGAAAACAGAATGTAAAAGCCGGCGGTTCCCAATTTGAGGGAGTCATTAATCGTATTCATGATTACTGCGAAGTCGGAAAGAAATTATAATTTTCAGTTCCCACACCTGGAAAATCAAACTGAAATAATAAAGAGACAATACAAATATTTGAGAGTTCTTGTTTATGCTACACAAATTCCATTGCAGTGAAGACCATATTTCTTTTAAAATTATTTTCAGAAGTGTAAAGAACATTTTTAACCACCCTGTATATCCGCACGATTTTACATATCTGTATGAAAATATACGAATACTTGTGTAAACTGGAAACTGCAGAAGACGAAAACCTGCCTTCAGCGGCAAACGTCTCCGGTCCCGAGAACAGGGCGCAATCTGATGCAAAATTACCCCGAACAAACTAAAGTTCTTTAAAATGTAAACTAAGAGGAAAAACAAGTCAAGTATCGCTGGAATACAGTGTCTCTACCAGTCACATACAGGCATACCACCAGTAAACGTAGCTCGAGTCGAAGTTCCACCAAATTTCCTCTAGAACGTCTCATCGTGCAAACAGTGGCACGCGATGTGAGACGTAGTTACGAAAAACCTTAATTTCAACAGGTCAAGGAAAAACTGTTTCCGTCCATATGTAATGTACCTGCAGTGTGATTAGTTCTGTAACTACAAAAGTGTGCCTGCAAAGCATGAAATCAAGGCCAACGTGGAAAGAAAAGAAACAAAAAGAACGGAAGGAAAGGTTGGACGTAAAAGACACATCTATTCTTCTCTTAACCGCGAGATAGTTTCTCGGAAAACAAGAAAATCTGTTTCTGAAGCCCAACTGCAAAGCCTGCGGTTATGAAGGTTCTGACAAGCCAGAAATTCCCATGGTTTGTTACCGTATTACACAATAATTTTACATTCGCGAGACGAACTGAAGACATCCGACCACCTGTCGCGTTAACTCGTTCTGAAAATATCTCTGAATTAAAGCATAAAAACTACAGTGGCCGCGTGGTCCTCCATTTCTGGAGCAGCGTAATCTCGGTTGGACGTACGTACATGTACGTCCGCGTTCTTCAGGGTTGTGTTGTCGCGTGCGAGTTCTGTTAAATGTTTTACAGATTGTCCAACCTATATAACAAGAACGTGGTGGGTGGTGGCAGCTTTGCTGGTGGCCTTTAGGAACTTTGAGCTTCACGTGTGTTTTTGTGCTTTATGGCATAGTATTTCCTTCCATGCGTGTTTACCAATTTAATTTTTCCGTCATTCCTGACGGGACAAACAACTTTAGAACAGAAATTAAGCTTCCACGGTAATTCTTTCTTAATGTTGATGTTACGTTTGGGTGCTTGTACCGTGTGAAAGTGGGCGTGTTCTCGACGTTTCGCATGCACAACACTCAACCCTTCAGCCCTGAAGAAAGAGTCAGTATGTTATTCCGAAACATTACTATCCACATACAAGTCCATAAGAAGTTACCACATAAATTACCAATATCGACAGGTTTTATTCAGTACCTTTATGTTTGTCTGATCCTCGCACGG